GGCGCGGAGCGGAGCGGGGCGGCCGGGCACGGCGCGGGCAGGTGCGCGGCGGCGCGCGGAGCGGGACAGGGCGGGACGTGCGCGCCAGGCCTGCCCGGACACACATGAAAGCCGAAGGGGAGGGGAAGGAAAGGAAAAAAACCCCGAACAAGTAAAAAGCACCCGAGATCTGACAGCTTCGCTCGCTGCTTCCAACCCAGGCTAATAAAAACCCTTGGCTTTTATCGCCTCGCGCGCGAGCAGGGGGATTTTTTTAAGGGAATTGGCATAGGCTGGGAGGTGCTTTCCCCGCTGCGAGTGCTTCCTTGCAGTTAATGCACCGCCAGCGTGGCGTGAAGCTGATGGGCAGCGCTGGGACGTGGGCAGCACGCGCCCGGGGAGCCAAAGCGGCASCCCCGCGCTCTGGGGAAACGTTTCCAGGTGATGGAAGAGAGAAAGAGGGMGAGAGGTGGCCCAACTAATCCAGCTTCTCTGGGGCTCTGCATGGGGCCCATCGCCAAAGGCTGTGGCAAGTAAATTGGCAATAATGCCACCTTTCGGAAGCGCTCGGTGCCTTTCTGTAGCGCTTGGAACCGATCTGGGATTTTACTGTCCTGTTTGAGCTGAGCATATGCTTTTTTTTTTTTTTTTTTTTTTTCCCCCCCCCAAACCAAAAATAGAATGAGTCAGGACTGCAAATCTATCCCTGGATCAAATGGTCATTATTGATAGTGATAAAACAGTGGTATATTGAAACTAAGAGTCTTGTCTTCTTCTCTCTTTTTTTTTTTTTTTTTTTTTTTTTGAACATATAATGAGTTTTGGGGACCCATCTTAGCACTTCAGAAGTGCAGTGCACCTCATATCCTTGTTAATGTTAAAACAAGGTATTATGGTGCAAAAGTCCAAGATCCCTCATACCTAATTCTTTCAAAAGCTGGAGAGAATCGCCTGGCGGTGTAAGGTTTCATTAAAACAAAAAAGTTGTAGAGAATCTTGAAAGATTAGTTCCTCAGTCTTGCTCCGTGGTCTTTTCAGTCACAGTCTAAATCTGGGAGATCAAATGGATTTGACTGCTTAGCTTTATTTGYGATGAAGAGTATAGGGCTAATTAATTGGCAGGTGCTTTAAAGCAGGTAATGCTACACCTTTTCATCATTGCAGTCCTAAGTACTGCCCCTGTGTGCACCTGAATTATAAAAAGGCTGCTTTAAAGCAAGTGATTTACTGTGGAGGGATTTAAAACAGAAAAAAAAAAAAAACCCTAACGCTAAATACAATGATCAGATAAATCACCTCTGAAGAGAGCACAGGCAGACCTGCTCTGAAGGCACTTACAGATAGATGTTATATTATTTTACCTTTCAGATAACAGGASCCTGTCATGTGGTGGGACCCAAAAATCCACCATAATCGAGATTTCAAAGCACATCTGTGTAAACATTATCACATCAGTGTAAAACATCAACCAATGAGCTTTCTCTTTGAACCGAATCTACTTAATTGCAGTGCTAAATCAAAGAAATAGATCAAAGTTGAATCAACTATATGGCACCGATTTCTCAAGTAGCCTGTGCACTCATTACTCACGCAGCCCTACAACGTCTGACACCCRCATCAGGTGTTTTATTGACGTGAGTGCCGAGGATCCAAGCGCGGTCTGTCCGTCACTGTGCGGGACACGCTGGGAAGCTGCAGCTGAGCGGGCAGCCAACACGGCCGAGCCAGGAGGGAGATGATCCCGGACCCCTGCGCTGCTTCCTGAGGYACAGGAGAGGCCTCTTCCGCCAGGAAAAGGGGTTTATTAAATACCTGCAGCCCCCCCAGTGGCTGACCACCCTTTTCTTGCTCTATATCGGAGAYGTTTCAAGTGGAGTGGACCACGTAGCGTCGATCCTTTCCGAGCGGAGTCTTTAATGTCTGGGCACTAAACCGGTTGTGCTATTTTATAAAGTACCAGAAAAGAAGCAAAAAGATAAGGGGTTTTCTTTTTGTTGTTTGCACTAGTCATGTGACAGGAAAAGATAACAYTGATTTTTTTTTCCACCCTCTGAGACTGTATCATGGGAAGTTAAATAATTTTGAAGAGTGTTTTTACAAGAGTGTATTATTCAACGTAAAGCATACAGTCCAATCTAATTGACTTTATATATGCTTCCTCGAGACAGCACTTTCAGTGTCACTGAACAAATACATATGCCATCCAGTTTTTATTTCCATAGCAAGTAGTCAGGGCTTCCGCAGACAATATGTATACTATACMTTTTCTAGGCATATTGCCATAGGCAGCACCTATAGCAAGGGAAGGAAGAAAGGAATAGACTGAAAACCTTGATACATATGCTCCAAACCAAACCAGTTTATTTCTATATGTATATGGTACACAGCGGATGTATTACATATATTTATTTGTACATGTGCATATGTATAAACGTGTGTGTACATGTGTGTGTATTAAAAAAGAGCTTGGTTAGAAAATGGAGTAAGCAATAAAACTTGATGTGCTACAATTTATTGTGCC